CAGGCTCCGCGCAGCTGGGCCGGAGCCCAGAGCCACCACAGCGCCTCCGTCCCACCCCGTGCGGTGAGCGAGTCCCGGCACTCCGACCACAGGCTGGCCCGCCCCGCGCGGACCCGGCACCTCCCAGCCCACAGGTACACGCCTTGGGCCCAGCAGGAGTCTGCCAACCTCGGTCTGTGCCCCCGGCCCACCTCCACCGGAGAGAACACACCGCTCCGTCCTCCTGGCCTCCTGCCCGCCCTCCACTCACCCTTTCATTCATTCAAACCACAGAACTCCGGGCGGGACCCAAAGCTGGCCCTGGGGGTTCAGCCAAGAACAAGGCAGCGGCGGAGGCTGCCCTGGGAGCCCGGGGTCTGTCCAGAAAGCATTCCGACTCTTCTCCGGAAGAGTGTGACTTTCACCGAGTCACTCTCCTCTCTGAGCCTCCACCGCTCAGGCCAGAGGGACCCATAGGGGCAGCCGGGAGGTAAGGTGAGCCCCACGCAGCGTGCGAAGGACCAGAGGGGATTGAAGCAGGCAGAGCGACCCCCATCCCTGGGGCAGCACGGCGTGTCCAGGGGGAATGGTGGCATTTCGAAGCCCTCTCTCTCATCCTCAGTTCTAATAGTCCCGTCGCCTGTGCCATGGTCACATGGCCCAGACACCAGCCCCCACCCCCACCCCCACTTTGGGGACAGCCTGCACAATCCACAGAGAGCTCTCCTGGGCCCACCCCACAGGGAGGCTCACCGCGGCCCCTTTAACAGGTAACGAAGCACCACCCACCTCCAAGGCCAAGGCGGGAACTAAATGAGAAAATAGATGGGGCACCCCTGGCCCAGAGCCGGGCGGGCGGAAAGCAGCCGTTTAGGAAACAGTAGAAGCACGGTCCTGATGTGGGGGGTGGAGGCCCCAGAGGCGAAGGGACTTGCCCAAGGTCCCTCATCAGGAGGAGAGGCAGCCCGGGTCTACCAGCTGGCCGGGCCGCGGCTCAGCCTAGCCCAGCTTTGCCTCTCCCCGCTGTGTGATCAGAAGCGGTGGACTCCGTGCCTCAGTTTCCTCCTCTGCAGACGGGGGTTCTATAACCCCTGCCTCCAAAGGCGATCATTTATTTAAATGCAGGTTCTTTATTCAGCCCTCAGAGGACAGGAGGCGCCCTCCAAATCGAACCCTCAGCCCCCGCCAGGCTGGGGAGATGGAGACTTCCACGTCCCTCCCCAGCCGTCAGGAACACTCCGCAGTCCCTTCCAGAAGGACCCGCCCCTCTCCCCCCGCAGCTCTGGAGGGAAGCTCCGTCTTACCCTTCCTCACCCTTCAGGGTGCCCTCACCCACCCCCCTGCTGCTCTGGCATCGTCCAGAGCCCCAGCCAGAGCTAGCTGCCCTGCCCAGAGCTGCCCGGACCCCAAAGGCCCCCATGCCCCAGTCCCGGGGTAGAAGCCAAATCCCGCTTGTTTTCAAGCGGCCAAAGCCTCTTCTCCAGCCCCCACCAAACCCCAACACGAGGAACCAGGGACGAGCTGGATGCGCAGCCAGAGGCAGGTTCCGTCCCAGCTACACCGTGAGGCTGTGGCCACCCCAGCTCAGTCCTGTAAGCCAGTGTTTGTCCCCAGTTGACAGGTAAGGAAGCCAAGGATCAGGGCGCCCTCCTCCTCCTTTCTCCCTCTCCCTTTCCCCCTCCTCTCCCTCTTCCTTCTTCTCTTCCTCCTCCTCCTCCTTTTGCCCTCCCTGACCCGGGGCTTCCTCCTGGAAAGGCCCCATCTCCAGAGCGCTCAAGGTGTGCAGGTGTGCTCCTCACTCAGGCGCTCATTTCCCATCACCTCCACACGGCGGGCACTGGGACTGTCCCTGCTTTACGCACGAGGAAGCTGAGACAGAAAGCACCGACCCAAAACCGCTCAGCAGGTGTCTGTCCCCAGAGCCCCTGCCAGCCGGGAGCTAAGAGCAGCAGGCCCTACGGTGTGCCTTGTCGGGCGCTGGCACAGGGGTCCCTGGCTTTTCATTCTTACAAAGAGAACAAGCGTACCCGGGGAACCCCGCGTTCAGAGCGCGCTGGAGGGGAAACGGGTGGGAGCCCCTGGGTGATGGACGTGGTCCGTGGGGAAGGAGCAGACCACCAGGCCCGACTGAATTCCCATCCTCATGGTCCCTCCCCCCCGACCCCTACCACAGGCCCAGCCACAGAACGGCCACCTTGCGAAGAACAAGAAATCGGTACCTGCAGACATTGTGTCACGAGCTTTACCCGTGAACTCCTTTCATTCTCCCGTTCTCCCCATTTTACGGAGGTGGAAGCGAAGGCACAGAGAGGGTAAGGAACTCGCACGAGGTCACACAGCCACAAAGTGGTGAACTCCATCACGGGGAGCGTTCCAGCACGACTCAGGCGCCCCTCCATTCCCTGCCAGCCCCGAGCGTCTCGGCTCCCAGTCCCAGGACCCCCCCACGCCAGGCCTTTCTGAGCGGGAACTTGAGCACAGCAGCTGAGGTGGCCCCGAAGGCAGATGTCCCTGGGAGTTACAGTCACGTGGTCTCTCAGAAGAGAAGACTCCCCCAAGCAGATGCCAGGACACACACACACACACACACACACACACACACACACACACACACGTCAACGCACCGCCATCTGCAGCATGAATGAGATCTGCTCTGTAACTGAGGTCACTCTGGAAGCCACACACACACACACACACACACACACACACACACACACACACTCCCTTTCAAGCTGGTGGGCAGACCGAGGGGCCATCTTGGCCCTCTGAGTCAGCCACTCCCCACCCCCATGGTCTCCGCAGAGGACCTGCCACGGAGGCCTCTCCCAGCCTGGCCGTCCCAGCGGGGGCTCTGCGGGTCTCACTCAGCCCCTCCTCCGCAGGCATCACCCTTCTCCTCTGGGGTGGCATCCCTGGCACTGGGCACCACCCAGTAACCCTCTGCCTCCCAGGCAGATGAGATGATACCCCTCCTCCACAGCCGGACCCCAGGGCAGGTGTGAGGCCTGGGGAGAGGCTCGCCGCCCCCCCCCCCACCTGCAGCCTCACCCGCAACCTCACCCCTCCTCTCCTTCAAGTCAAGCCCAGCCACATGGGCCTCCAGGCCCAGAATCCCAAGGTTTTGCTTCCTCTGCCACCCAGCTCTGTGTCTGAACCACCCCCTCTCCTTCACCCCCATCCCCGCCTCCCTGAGCCTGCACCACACCGGGGCTGTCACCTGGCACCCTCGCAGACCCGTTCCTCCCACCGCCTCCCGGGGAACAAATTCTTGGCTTTCGCTTATGAACAAGGAGCAGTTGTTCAGCGAGGGACGGGGCCTGCCCAGGGTCCCACAGCTCCAGACTCCGGCTGGGCCCCCAAGCCTAAAGCATCTTGTCCTGAGCACACACCCTCCCCCACCCCCACTCCGGTGCACACCGCACACTTCCCAAGCTCCTTCCGAGCATGAAAACACACGTCCTCTCGTTTGGTCTTCGAGGAGGGTGTTATTAGCCCCATTTCACAGAGGGGAAAAGAGAGGCTAGTAGGATTCTGAGAGGTGAGATGAGTGGTCAAAGGTCAGATCATGAGCCAGGAGATGGGTCACATGTGTGTGGCCAGGCTGGGCCCGAGGTTGTGTGGCCTTCCGGAAGTGTAGCTGAGAAAGGGACCCTCCTGCTGGGCTGGGCTGGGCTTCAGTCCCTCCCGGGGACCTTCTCTCCACACCTCACCCCGGGAGCCTGGGGCTGAAGCATACAACCACCTGCAGGTACTTCCCCTGGCACTGAGCACCCCTCCCCTGGCCCCAAGCCCCCAGGTGGGCACGGCTGGTGAGCAGCCCGGTTGCCCAAGAAGCAACCTCTGAGCCCTGCCCGGCTGCCTGGCAGTGTATGGGCTGGCCGGCGGAGGCTCCGGGGAACTTGCAGGGGTAAGTGGGTGCCCTGACATGGACCCTGAGAGGTCCAGGCCCATGTCAGCCGGAGGGGGACAGGCCGAGTTCCTGATGGAACCGGAGAGAATGGGCCCAGAAACCCCGGCTCACTCCCAGCCAGGCTGCGGCCATGTGCCCACGGGGGACTCAGGGAACCTGAGTTCCTCAGAGGGAGAGGCCCTGGCTCCCTCTTCTCTCCTCCTTCCACTCCCCCTGTGGGAGCTGGGACAGAGCTGACCCCTCACAGCTGCTGCCTGGTGACCCGAAGGGACGCCCAGGAGTCACCTCCTACATCCATACTCCCCTCTACCTGCACACACCGCCCCCTCCGGTGTGCAGGCCCAGGAGCAGCCGCCCAGCAGCACCTGCAAGCACCCGGGCACCCACTCCCATGGGTGCAAGCACACGCCCACCACGGAGTCTCCCCACACTCACCCCTGCAGCACCACCGCCAGAACCAGCAGCCACCAGCCCCGGCACCGTAGGCGCCAAGCACAACGGGTCACCCTCACACCTCCACACACACAGGTGGGACACGACGGCACTGCCCATCCCTTTCACCCACACGCACCCCACAGGTCCCAGCACCCTTCACCGGAGGGGGGGACACACCCTCCCTGTGTCCCTCTCCCCCTCAGGTCACCTTCACACAGTCACCTTCCACCGCTCCTCTTCTCCGGGCCCCCCTACCCCCATCCAAGCTGCCCGGGCAGGAACCAAAGGCACCCCAACCCCGGGGCGGGAGCAGCCCCCACGCCCTAAAAGTGGCCGCGGTCTGGACACACCCACGAGCGAGCAAAATCCACGTTCACTCCAGACCCGAGACACACCCAGCCCCGGCCACGCGCCCGCGCCCCCGGCCTCCCCGCGCCCCCCGCCCGGGGCGGGCACCCCGCTCGCCGGGAGGGGGCTCCCCGGGCCGCCAGGGAGGCAGCGGCGCGGGCTCCCGCGGGCCTCCCGCCGCGGAGGGTCCCGCAGGAAGGGGACGAGCCCCCCTAAACGGCCACCGGCGCGGGGTGGTCTCCCCCCATCCCGATGCACCGCGGGGGGGCGATCGGGGGGTGGGGCGATGGGGGAGGGGTCCCGGGTCCGAGCGGCGCGCGGCACTCACCCCCGCGGCGCGCCCGGCCAGCAGCAGCAGCAGCAGCAGCGGCGGCAGCAGCCCGCGGGCCCCGGGCCCGGCCCCAGCGCCTGCCCCGCGGGCGGCCCGGGCGCGGCGCGGCGGCCCCGGCTCCATGGCGGCGGCGGCGGCGGCGGCGCCTTTGTTCCCGCGGCGGCGGGGCGGCTGCTCGGCGGCGGCGCGGCCCGGCGGCTGGACCCACCGCGCGCGGCTCTGGCTCGGGGCTCCCGGCTCGGCGGCCCGGCTCCGCCTCGCGGCTCCGCGCCCACGGCCGCCGCGCCCGCCGCCCGCCCGCAGGAAGCGCGCGCCGCCGCCGGGCCGCCCCCAGCGCGGGCGGGGCGCGAGGAGGCGGGGCGGGGCGAGCGCCCCCAGCCCGGGGTCCCCGCCCCCAGCCCCGGCCCCGGCCCGGCCCCCGCGCGGCCCCCCGCCCGGAGCCCGGAGCCGCGCAGGGTCCCCGCGCCCCGCACAGGCCGCCCCGCCGCTCAGCCGGCTCCGGCGCGCGGGCCTGGGACGCGGACCCGCCTCGCTGAGCTCGGCCTGGAGGACGGGGTCCCTCGGAAGGCGCCTCCCCGGGCGGCGGGGCGCGAAGGGAAGGACCCCCCGTGGGAGTGCAGGGCGGGGAACGGCGGGCCTGCCTCCTTAGAGCGTCTGAGCGGATGGGTGGCACCGGCGGGATCATCACCATCCTCCCCTAAGGGCTTCCTTCGCACAGCTCCTCAGGGACAACGGCCATCCTAGAGCCGCTCACCCAGGCCCCGACAGTGGTGTCTCCAAGACAAGGGTGCGCTGGGTGACCTCAGGTGTGGGCAACCCTCTCTGGGCCTCCTCTCCCTTCTGCACCGCGGGGGGCGGACTTCCCGGCCTCCCTGGGCTGCAGAGGGAAAGCTGGGCAGACCTCGGGAAGCTCCCCACACACACACTGACCTCTCCCCTCTCCCCCTGAGCCTCAGGTTCCTGGAGTAGAAGGGAGACCCCACCCTCCAGGGCAGGTGCTGTGAGAATATGTCCCTGGGTGGCGTGGTCATCGCCCACTTGTCTCTGGGCCTATCCCCTGCTTCCCTGGCCTACTATGCGCTTGACTTACTCGCTGGAGTCTCCCACCACTCACTGGTACCTAACCCCAGGAGGGCAGGGGTTGGGGTCACCTTATTTGCTGCTGTGACCCCAATACCAGCTCAGGGACTGGCACATAGTGGGTGCTCAACACACATTTCTTGAATCAATGAGTGTGTTTCCCATTCACCTGAGCTCCCCCCGCCCAGCTGTCCTGGGAGGAGAAGGCAGGATGTTTTAAGCTCCAACCAGGTGTGGCCCCCAAGGCCTTAAGTGGGTTATTAATTCCTTCAGCAACCCCATGAAATAGGGGGAGTCGGTATCTCCCCCTCCTTGATGGGAATCTGAGGCTGGAGGTCTCTGCCCTCGGCCCCTGTGTGCGGGGGCCCAAAGGAAGGAGGAACTGGCTTGAGCTGAATCTGGAACAATTCCCCGGAGGAAAAGGGAACTGAAACCAGGGCGAGTGGAGCCAGGAGCGGAGTGTGCCGGGGTGAGCCTGGAGGAGCAGACACTGGGGCGCCAGCCAAGATATGGGGGTGCCAGGGGACCCGGCTTTGTCCTCGGAGGCCCGTGGAGGAGGACCGGGAGACAAACGGAGCTGGATTCGGAGGTGTTTCCTGAGCAGCAGTGAGAGCCACGTCCCTAAAGGCCGTGTTGGCCAAGCCAGCTACCCTTTGGCAGGGAGATCCTGGAGAGGAAGGGCGGGAAGACTCCCAGCTCAGATTGAAAATCCCCTAGGAATGCCGAGGTCTCAGCCTCTGGAGCTCCCATCCCCAGGAACCTTCAGGAATTCTGACCCGGGGCCCCTGGGGGAGCTGGGCCGAGAGAGGCCCAGTGGGTGGGGATCTGGGTGGGACAGCACAGCTGGGAGCTGAGGCGCTCTGACTCGGGGTTGGGCGAAGGCTTGGGTTCGAACCCCAGCTCGGCCAGCTATGCGCTGTGTGACAGCAGGCGAGTAACTTTGGCTCTCTGAGCCTCCACTTCCCAGCTGTAACGTGAGACTAATGACCACAAGGGATTCATTCATTCACTCTCCAAATATCAACTGAGTGTCTGCCTGTGTGTGCCAGACCCGGGCCAGGAGCCAGGGGGTGAAGTTTGAAGGAGCTCTTCCCACCATTGTCCTGGGCTTCAGTGCGGGTGTCTGGATGATGCTGGTAAAGGAAGGGGCCTGGGTGTGGGAATAGTCACCCCCCAGAGGGGCCGCTCAGGCCCGGGAACAGACTGGCTCTGAGGTGGCCCCCAAGGGCAGTGTTAGCCACATGTCAGATCGGTGTCAGGAAGGCCTTGGGGATAGTTGGAGCTGATCACACAGCAATGGCTACTCTGAGGCAGTGGCCACTGTCCTGGGAGCTGTGCCGGGCTCAGGGAAGCCGTCAGGACCGGCTCCTGGCCGAGGGGAGCGGTGAGCATTGCCCATCTTCCCAGGTCCCTGCCTGTCCTGAGCCTCCCCTGACATCCTGGGAGAGCCGGCTGTGGACGCTTTGGGCTGGGCAGGAGCGCCACCTGCTGGTCCTCAAAGATACTGGTCACAGCCCGAAGCAAAGTGGGTCTGGGCCCTGAGTCTCATTCTGCCTCTCAACCCCTGCTCCAGCGCTCCTTGGGGTTCACAGGCGCACACACCCACCTGTTCTCCAGCACAAGGTGCAGTCACACCACCCCTCCATGGTTACCTGTGCACCAGGCCCCACACCAGCGTCTCAGGTCCCTTCGCCTTCACCACCATGCAGGCATGCCCCCCTTCCAGGCATTCCCCCGCCCCTGGACCACTCGGGGCCTCTGGGGGGCTGTTCTGGCTCCCATCAGGCAGGGCTGGTCCCACCGGCCCAGCGCCCTAGACAAGCCCCGTCCGTGCACGCCCCACGCCGCTGCCTTTAGTCTCCGCTGTCTCCCCGGAGTGGGAGCGCCTGTGTCCCCGAGGGCAATGACCACAGACTCCGCCCAGCAGTCGGGGCGGCACTGCTCTGCGAGGTGCACACTGAGTTGCCCCCGGTGTGAAAGTGGCAAACCGGGCACTTTCGGAGGTGTTTTAGAAGCGGTGTCCAAGCTCACAGCTGGTGAGTGAGAGCGAGACCCTGACCAAACGCGGCAGTTACACTGACACCGTGTCCCGAAGCATTTGGGGAGTGAGTTGGGCCTGGTGTAGGGGTCACACTGTCACATGGACACAGCCAACCCACAGGCAAACCAAATGAGCCTGGAACCCAGATAACTCAGGACAGCACGCCTGGCAGCCATGCCTACCCTCCTCCCCCATCCTATCAGACCCCCGTGCCCCCGTCCCCCCCTCCCCGTGGGGCCTCCTGGCTCTAACAAGCCAGCAAAGGGGAGGGGAGGTCTCTGAGCTCCATGCTGGAGGCCCTCATGCAGAGCTGCACCTCCAGGCCTGGCCCACGGTAGGTGCTCAGTCGTTACTGCCTGCCCCCAGCGGTTTGGCCAAACAGACTGGCTGGTTGAACTCGGGTGACTGATGAGAGCCAGGGTCGACCGAGGGCTTCCCCTCCGCCAGGCGCTGTCTGGCACCTGCCAGCACCACGCTGGTTCATCTTCATCCTGCGACGTGGGAACAGCAAGCGCTCTCGTTTCCCAGGGCTGCTGCCTTGAGGATCGGGCAGAGCCTGGCCCGCATGGCGTTCACATCTGCGCTTCACTTCCTCCTGCTGTGAAGAATCTGCTGGGTTCTGGGGGGCTGGGTGATGTGCCCCAGGTCACATAGCCTCGCACCAGGGAACTGGGGGATCCTAACTGGCAACAAGCCCCTGCCTCCCCAGGGCGCCCCACCTCCCCCTGCTCGCTCCCACCCACCTTCTCCATCACACCGTCCAGCCTTGCTCAAGACTCAGGAAGGAGACCAGAGCCGTGTGTGGTTCTGAGAAAGTCGGGGTGAAGGCTGCCCTGAGGTCAGTGACCCCAAAATCAGGAACCGAAACAGGATTCTGGCAAACGGGCCACCCCAACATGTAGGGCTGAGCCTACGGGCTGCTGGGAGCCTCCCCAGGGCCTGCAGGGCGCCGGGCTTGGCCTCCATCTGTGGGGCCCCCGTCAGTGGGAGCCCCCTGCCCATCCCGACGGCGACGGTCTCAGGCCTCCAGGGGTGTGCTAGCGAGTCAGTGAGACTGGGCGATGTCCCCTGGGCACGGAGCTGCCAGGCACGGGGTCAGAATTGGAGCCCCGAGTGGCTGCCAGGCTGGGAGCGGCCAGGCCCGGGGGAGCAGGCGGGTCGGGTGTGGCCAGGCCCGGAGCAGCGGCTGCCAGGCTGGGAGCGGCCAGGCCCGGAGCAGCAGCAGCCAAGTCCAGAGCAACTAGGTCGGGAGCGGCAGTGACCAGACCCGGAGCAGCTGGTTGTGGAATGAACCAGAGCAACAGAGGCCAGGCCCTGAGCAGCCAGGCCCAGAACAGCTCGCTCCTTGCCTGCCCCTGCCCCACGGCTGCTTCTCAGACATGGCTGGAAACTTTCTTGGGAACTTAAGGGTCTACTGAATCAAGTGATGAAGGCTTAGATCTGGATGTGTTGAGTTAGTATAGGGCTGGGGTGTTGATCTGTGAGTGCCTTGGGTGGGGCCTGGATGAGGCTGGTTGACCTAGTGGGAAATGTCCTTTGTGTGAAGTGTATCATTGGGCATGTGGAGGTATTATTGATATGAGAAAATGCTAAGTAACTGATTTACTATCTGAAAAGGGATTTACTATTGGGGAAATTGAGGGAAGAAGAGACTGAACATAAACTGCACCTATGGATGAGGACAATGGGGGATGGGGGGGGGACGGAGGGTGGGGTGGGAACCTGGTGGAGGGGGGAAGAAATGAGGAACCTTTGTAATAATATGAACAATAAAGATTGATTTAAAAAAAAAAAAAAAAAAAAGAATTGGAGCCCCGGCCTCAGGTTTGTGAGCTGAAGCCCAGACGATCCCTGAGGCCCCCGGGCAGATGTGGGTGAGACGGGAGGGAGCGGGCTGTGTTTGCGCTGAGGGACCTGTGGGCACAGAGCATGGCTGGGCTGGGCTGGCCTCGACGGAGGAGAGCAGAGGCTTCAGAGGCTGCAGAGGCTGAAGCTTCGCTCA